AAAGCAGCCGTTCCCCTGCTTTGGTGCGTCTTGTTCTTGGTTGTCTTCTCCAGGGTGCTGCTTTGCTGCCCAGGCTGGGCTCTGCTGCCCGTGCCGAGCCCTCCTCGTCCTCCAGCCAGCACCGTGCAAGGCTGGACGTTGCTTATCCCCCATCCTTGCTCTGCTCTTGCCTTTCTTCAGGAAGGGAGTTGGATGGAGACCATCCCCAGAAGCATCCAAGCTGGTCCCTGCCATCCCACGCTGGGTGTGAAGGTGCTTCCAGCAGCATCGGGTTGTGATGGGTCTTTCTCCAAACAGCGTTTTAGGGCCATCTCACCCTGGATCTGATGAACACCAGATAACTGCCCTCACAAAGGGCGATGCTGCTCCCTGCAGCACACGCTGGGCATCAGCTCAGGAGCCTCCACCTCCTCCCGACACATTGGCAGCCCGGCTGTCAGGAGGAGGAGGAGGATGAAGCTGAGGAGATGCCACCAAGGTCCATGGCAGGGCTGGTCCCACCTCACCTGGGCATCAATCTGCCACCATTCCTGTGATGGGGCCAGATGGCTGCGGGGCAGGAGGGGACGTTCGTCCCCTTCCTTCAGGGAGGGAGGATGAACCAGGGAGAAGAACATGAAAACACCAAAAAATGGAGTCAGACTCCAATCCCTCTTGGGTGTTTGGGGTGAATTTGACTGGTCCCAGGAGCTACAGCGCCATGCATTTCGGAACAGTTCCAGCCAATCAGAAGGTGGCTCATGATTTCAGTATCTTTAAAAACCAACCAATCAGGAGCTCTCACTGGTTGGGCTTTAAGATCTTGAGGTATCGGTATCGGCTTCTCGCTTGGAAAAAAATCAACTAACGTAGACGAACGGACAACGTCATCTTTCGCTTCACGTTATCTTAGAAGAAGAAGAAGAAAGCGACTATGCAAAATACTCTTCGGAGACAACTCTTAAAAAAATAAAAGCTTGGTCGGAAAATATGTCTGAATCTCTAACTGTGAGGAGTGAAGGACCAGACGGCAAAATGGCTGGTTGGCTGGTGGAGAGATGGAGACAACGGAGGGTGGATTTATCTGCTGACGGCGACGAGGAGCACATCACAAGACTTAGATTGCCTCCACGTAGTTGGCTGGGTAGAGACCTAGCTGCCCGTTGTCCAAGCGCCCTTTGCACCATCCTTGCTCGTCTTCTTCACCGAGTTTGGTTAGTTCATCACCTGGAGAGGAAGGTGGAAAGGGGAGAGCTCAATGCAGGTGTTGGAGCTTCTTCTACCCTCCTGTTTCTCTCCTGGATGGAGCTGCTGGGGCGTTCTAGGACTGATCCTCAGCATGAAGGTTTGTAAGGTAGAAAGGCAAGGGGTGACCCATAAGATCTCATGTGCCCACCCTGGCTTGGGCTTAGCATGTGCCTTCCCCTTTCTGCCAGTTAAACTTTTTGAAGGGCTGGGATAACTCAGAAATTATTTAAAGGATTTCACATCACAACGTGGGGACCCGCAGCTCCAGCAAACAAGCCCTGGCTGACCCGGCACCAGTGATGGACTGTACCTGCTTTGAAGCTGAGCTCATCCTGCTCCTGCCCGTCGTAGTCGTACAGAGCCCGCACCCGCACCCCCTTCCCAGCCGACTCCTCGTCGAAGGGGTTGGTGCCACCGTTGGCCTCGCTGGTGTTGAAGGAGTTGCTGCCTTCGTCGTCGGACCACTCGGCGCTGTAGGTCTGCCCGCGGTCATGGCTGCTCACACTGGAAGGAGGGAGAGGGGCCATCAGAGCAGGCAGGGAGGTGGTGGGGTGGGCAGGCACTGTGTGCCACCAACATCTGGGAGGATGCTGTGGCTTGTCCAAGGTTACAGGGGAGTGGTGGCTGCAGTGAGCAGGACCCCCAGCTAACGACGGGCCAGCAAGGCATGGAGGGAGGACAGAGAAGAGTGGTGGCTGTCACCGAGGTCATCCCATGTCCCGTTGCCTGTCCCCACAGCACTGGCAATGTTTGCACAGGCAAACATCATGCCTTTCCTGTGGCATCTCCCCTGCCCGCTGGCCCTCACCTCCCACGCTCGCTCGCTGGCGCCCCCGTCTCGCCCATGCTGCTGGCATTGGTCAGGGTCACCCCCTCGCCCTTCTTCTGCTTCTCCTTCCGTGTTATCGTGTGCGTCAGGTCCGGGTTCCACTCCTGCAAGCACAGAGCAACTGGCCCCTGAGTGCCCAGCCGCGCCGTGGGGTTGCTGGTGCCCCAACCAAGGTGCCCAGCCTCACCTCGAACTGGGGCCAGTTCATGGGCATCCCGGGGCCACTGGTGCTGCGGAACCACCGGAGATCCTCCTGTGCATCCGAGAGGCGGATGGTCTGCTCCAGCTCCCGGTAGACGTTGGCGTAGCTGCGAGGAGAGATGTGGGTCAGGGTGCTGCAGGTGGGGGTGGACCCCGGCTGGGTGCCCCGGGATGGGTGGGATGGGGACGTGCCCAGGTCGTGTCACCTCCTACGAGGCACTAGGGGGCGCCAGGCTCCCGCACAGCCCTCCTGCCACTCTGGTATGTCTTAGCGACCATCGTGTTGGCCAAAACACCCCTCTCCCTCGTATTGCAGGGATGGGTTGGCCTGGAAGCACTTGGTCCCTCCAGAGCTTGGTTTACTTTCCAGGCAGGACAAAGAGACTTTGTGTGGGCACTTTCTGCCCAGCCAGCCCAGGAGGCACCTACCTGCTGCTCTCGGCCAGGTTCAGGTGCCTCTTGATATCCAGGAGCACTTCCTTGAGGAAGTTGAGCCTCTTCTCCTCAAACTGCTGGCACTGCTCAAAGACCTGCTCCATGCTCTCCATGTACTGCGGGGTGCACTTGTTCAGCTCGTCCAGCACCTTCTCGTACTTCTCCTGAGTCTGCAAAGGTGCAGGAGGGTACCTCGGTTATACCTCGAGCGCCTCAGAAGCCCTTTCTGGGTGCTGAGAGGGTCTGGTTTGTGTACTACCATGCTGGGGAGCCCAGATCAGCCAAGAACCTCTGTGGGGTGAAATCAGTCTGGTTGCTGCAGAGATTTTGCCCCAGTAAGAGGGGTAAATCTCTGCCCTGGCCATGCTCCCCTGAGCACTGCCTGCAAGTCCTCGCCCTTCTACAGGAGCGCAGGGATGGGAAAAATGGAATGAATGGGGGAAAAAGGGGCCTAGTGGCCATTTCCACTGTTTTTCCTGCCCAACGCCTCGTGAGTCCGGAGCAGGACAGCAACTCGCACCTTTTGCACATCTTGCTTGCACTTTTCCACTTTGTCCTGGAGCTTCTTCTGCTGCTCGGGGGTGTTGGACTGGTCCGCCTTGCTGTTGGCTTCCCGGGTCATCGCCAGCTTCTCCTCCTTGCAGGCCAGGTGGTAGGCTTTCTTGGCTGTCTCCAGCTGTGGAGAGGAGAGAGAAGGGACATCAGAGCAGCAGCCACAGCCCCCTGCCCATCCCTCTGTCTGCAGGGAGGTGCCAGCTGGCTCTCCCAGCTCCCGGGAGCTGAGAGATGACATGGGTGCCCCAGGACACGCTGCGCTTCTCCTCTCACCTCCTTGAGCTTCTTGGCCCAGGGCTTCTGGGCTTTCCGGAAGCCGTCCTCAGCCTCCTTGGCCTCCTTGAAGCCTCCCATGATCTGCTTGTGGTAGGCGTCCTTCTGCCAGTTCTTGACCTTCTCAAAGTCATCATTCAGCAGGCTGTTCTTCACATCCTGGTGCAGCTCGCTCACCTTGTCCGCCTCCGTCATGATGGCACCCCATGCCTTCTCCAGGCTGCCATACTGGGGACCTGGGGGGCAGAGGGGACAGCTGAGTGTCACTCCACAGCCCTTACCCCCCTCCACCTCTGCCAGGCAAAGTTGTTGATGGTGCACAGGGACCCGTGGGATCCTGGGAGAAGCCTCACCCTGGGGAAGCCATGGTACCTTTCTCAATGAGCTGCCTCCACCGCTTGGACCAGTCCGTGAGCTGCTGGGCGTAAGACTTCTCGATCTTGGCCCGCTCGTGCACGCAGTTCATCAGGTCATTGCAGAGCCGGTGCCCATCATCGATCCGCTTCACCGTCCGCTTGTAGTTCCCCACCTGGGAGGGGGACAAAGATGGGGATGGGGACAACAGGCAGACATGGCTCAGTCCCAGCTGGCCCAGGGTGGGGACAGGGGGAGCACTGGGCACTTTGGGGGTGCAGGGATGGAGCTTCTGCTTTGGGGCCGCTCAAACCCAACTCCTTTTGGTCCCCTCCATCGCTCTGTGCTCCTTGGGGACAGCTGAGGTTGAGACCTCCAGCAGAGCCTGCTTGGACACCCAAGCCACCGCGGCAGGGATGCCCGCAGGCAGGGCTTGCTGTGGGAGGAGAGGGCAGCGCTGTGCTCCCCAGCCCAGGGAACACCCTGGGACCCAGTGAAGGTGGTGGGGGTCGCACGGGAGGAGAGGGGTGTCTGGGACT